AACATAACAAAGGAAAAGGGCATAACTGCGTAGTTTATTCAGCAAATAAATAATCATGACGAAGAGAGACATAACTGCAGTTTATTCAATATTCAATAGTCAAAAGGGTATACTTATTGGGCGCCGTGAGCCGATTTTTTTTTTTTTTTTTGTTACAAACAGAAAATTAGAAGTCGGGAAAGCTCATTATATTTTTAAAGCAGTAGAAATGTTCAGTTTGGTCTGCCAAAACCATGGTCTGTTGGTGTCTAACAGAATCCCTATAATGAAAAGCCGGCACCCAACAGGGGTCCCAATTTGGAAAAATCCACATCCGAGATATATGTTTAAATGAGTTTTCTTATGACATCAATATATGTTTTGCTGTGCATGGTAATAATCATTATGATTGACAGTAGGCTGGGAGACAATTGATATTACAGTATAAAACTAGTAAAAGCATTCAAATATCATTATGAATTTGCGGGAGGTGGTTTATTTCGGAAGATTTGTGCTTGCTTGCGGACCAGAATGCGTTCTTCATGCCAATTTCCAGGAGACCTCATTCCGGGACTCTACAGGAGACTTGGGACTCATGGGCACTAAATGTGGTCTTTAGATTTCTCTATACTATTGAAAAATAATACATTAAATGTAATTAATGTAATGGTTGTACAGTAACTGCATGCTCTTATTAATTATTAAATAAACATTTCTTGGTAGCCAGACATCAACTTGTCTTCCCATTAAAATATTACTAAGTCATTAAAAGACACCAAGCTCATATGTCTATGTTTTATTATGTAAATTACAAAAAGCAACGCGGTGTTTAATAGTTATAGCAGGTTAATCTGCTCTATAATACAACACAAATTTTTTCTTTTAATTGATTACTATTCTTGACTTTTTTTGTGTACAATAATACATTCTATCGTATTAACTTTTGGATATAAGTTAAATTGTATTTTTGAAATTTTAAATTACTTTTGTTATATTACAATCATATTTTATAATTTTTTGTTATTACGGTATATATTAACAATTAGTGAAAATATACTGTAGATAGATGGGGGGGGGGGGGAGTGGGGATACAAGCATTATTTTATAAATTAAACAAAATAAAAAACTGCTGTACTGTGCATGCGTTTCTGTGTATTTAACAATTATCACTACATCATAAAGCCCAAATAAAAGTATAGGCCCCTACCATTAGTTTTACAAAATTCTTTTTGGTGATGATCCAGATTCAGGTGTGAATTGAGAGTAATTCAAAATGCTCCATTCCCAGACATAAATATCAAAAAGAATTATCAATGGATTTTAATGAAACTTTCCAGAATAGTTTGTCATGGTTCAACAAAAAAAAGTGTTAAATTTTGGTGACAATTTGGAGTAGGATGTGGACATAAGGACTATTTATAGGGAAATGGCCAAGACCAGATATCCCAAAAACTGATCAACTAGCCTGAATGAATATGAATCCAATGTAAAAGATGTCCAATTGAAAATTTTAACTTGGTACTTAATTTTCAATTGTACATAGTTTATGTCGTTATTATTGTTTTTCATATTATTTATTCATTTTTATTCTTTATACAAATAAATAAATTATATTATTAAATTCACAATTTAGGGCCACCCGCTTTAAAGCTTGCTTCGGGTTCCGGCCTATTGCCACCCGGGTCCGTTGCCACCCGGCCCGTTGCCACCCGGCCTTTTACCACCCTAGGCCCGTTGCCAACCGGCCTTTTGCCACCCAGCCCTTTTGCCACCCGGCCTTTTGCCACCCGGCCTTTTGCCACCCGGCCCAGTTGCCACAGCCCGTTGCCACCTCGGCTCGTTGTCACCCGGCCTTTTGCCACCTTTGGGAAAGTCGAATATTCATATTATTTTGGGTTTTTTTTACACAGATTTGTTTTACTAGAATTTTTTCTTGATTAAATTTACTTTCCAGTTTAATATTTAATTATTCAATTAGTTTACTGTATTTTATTTCAAACAATTGTCCATGCGCTTTCTTACCAACAGGAGAAAATTGCAGAAATACACTTGCTTATAAATCCGCATAAAGAGAGAAATACTGCAGTCTAGTTTATTTTTATATTTGATTTTTAAGTATATATTTTAGTCTGTGTGCTTTTACATTAAAAAAAACAACACATTTATGATAATAGTTATTTATATGTATAACCACAAGCCTATATGTACGTATAATGAACTTATATTTAATGTAGTTTACTTCGCAATGAATTACCATTGCAAAATCACAACTTACAGTTATACACAAATAACATAACAAAGGAAAAGGGCATAACTGCGTAGTTTATTCAGCAAATAAATAATCATGACGAAGAGAGACATAACTGCAGTTTATTCAATATTCAATAGTCAAAAGTGTATACTTATTGGGCGCCGTGAGCCATTTTTTTTGGTTACAAACAGAAAATTAGAAGTCGGGAATGCTCACGAAATAATAATATGCTGCCACCAAGAGTGGTTGGTTTGATGGCGAAACCTTTGAATCTAATGTTTCTGATGTATTTCTGCCCTATGCAGCTAAAACTCCAGGCAGCAAGTTGCTGATTGGAGACAATTTAGTATCACATTTTTGCCCAGAAGTCATTAATGCTGCAAACAAACACAACATTTATTTTACAACTTTGCCGCCAAACTCAACCCATATGACCCAGCCACTGGATGTTGCCGTCTTCCGACCCATGAAAATAGAGTCGAACAAAATGTTGTGTATTAAACTGCAGGAAGCAGTCACGTCGCCAAAGATCTATACCAAAAGAAGTGTTTCCATTTCTTTTAAAAAGATTGTGGCAAGCCATTTCCCCAAATGTTGCGGCAAACCTTGCTTCAGGGTTTAGAAAATGTGACCTGCATCCATTCAATCCACAGGAGGTTTCGGGCAGTTTATACCAGACGGGCAGGCACGCGAGCCAAATGAAGTTGCTCGTGACCTAGATAATTCTCTAAAATTGAGCTCCTTAAAGAAAACCGTGGCCAAGGAAATGAAATGAAAAAAAAAAGCGGGGTAGGAAAGTAAAAGTCATCCCGGGAGCAAAACTTACTTTAGAAAATATGTAAAGTACAAGTAGCGATATTCAACATGCAGTTCCCTTGGCAAATAATTCTGTAGCAAATGACAATTTGTGTACTATGTGCCAAGTAGACTTTAATATTTATAAAGGTCCAGAGTGGCTACAATGTATCTATTGTTTAAGTTGGGTGTGTGGATTATGCAATGGTGCTACATATGATGCCGAGTATGCTTGCCCAAAATGTACCTGATTGAACACACATGAAGTTTGAAAAAAATGTACCGTAAATATGTTATTGTAAATACTGTAAGTTATGCCGAGTACGCTTGCCCAAAATGTGACCGATTCAACATACATGAAGTTTGAAAAAATGTACTGTAAATATGTTATTATTGTAAATAAATTAATGAGTTTTCATATTATATAAATGTTAGTGTTATTTTGTGTTTTAAATTTTGAAAATTATTGCATTTAAATATTTTTGATAGTAGTTTTGACTTAAAAAACTGCCAAAGTTACCCCAACAACGGGGTAACTTTGGCAGTCTACTAATTCTGCTCTGGCGCACGTAAAATTTGCCGGATTAAAAAAAAAACTTGATATTATGTGTAGAATATCTCAAATGTCAAGACTAGATATCCTTTAAAGGCATACATTGAATGCACAATTTTAAAGCTGCCTTACAAAATATATGAAAAACCTGCCAAAGTTACCCCGTTTTACGGTAATATAAATATATATAATAAATATATTAGCTTGACGTCAATTTGCGCCGTATCGAAAGGATCGCGCAGTAGAAGACGCATTTGGCACCAGTGTGACGTACCACTGCTTGGGTATTTACCCAAGATCTTGGGTATTTTGACTTGGTCTTGGGTTCTTGGGTATTCCGTTCAAATCCTTGGGTATTTTATTTTTACTAAGAAAATTAAATATTTTTGTCATAGAGGAAGAATTAAGAAGTAACGAAGTATATGTCAGTCCATTCAAGTAAGCAAAACCCAACGAAGTGCACATAACATTGTTAATTGACTGTTAATTGCTATAAACATGGGTTCAGAATTGTTTATTTGTGATTTGCGTTGCCATTGATCTTATCTAATTAATGCATTACATAATACAGTAAAACTTGATCACTGATCTACTGATAACACTGGCCGACTGAGGGCGTATTTTTCTATATGTATTATCACCGGCACCTCATGAATATTAATTTTAATAATTAACCAAAGAATTACAATAAAAAATGGTTTATAAATTGAACTAAAATGGAAACTATACATGCGAAAAACACTTTTTTTTCCAAATTATAATGCATTTTCAGGAAGCTTGGGTAATTTTGGGCAATTTTTGCTGAATCTTGGGTAATTTCGACCCAGTCATTGGGTATACTGTATCAACATTGTGAGTGGTCACGCTGATTGGCACACTCATGAAGTCTACACGTGCACTTGAATAGGGATGGCTCCTATGCAAGAATCTTATTTTTGGACTTCATTTATTACTATTCAAACTCATCTTCTAATTTATGGATGTTAACCAAGCTTTAATTCTATGGGTTGCAGACTTTTCTAAAGACAGAGTGATGCTGTTTATTGCTTTTACTATAATTTGTAACTGAAACAGAATTTTATAATGAACAATCAAGATAATATTTATACAATGTTTAATTTCATTTTGATATGCTGCTACATTCTTTTTAAATTTATGTTTTTTTTATTTTTTTTATCATTAAATCTACATTTGAAACAAAAGTCAATCCCATGGCAATGCCAAAATTGACAAGATTGGTTTTACCAAGTGGAGTAATATGGTCAATTCGACGGAGTGCCTGTAAGTCTCAACTACGAATATGAAGCTTTCACAATGTACCGACATGAATTTTAAACCGTAGAGGGTTCTATTTTAGTAACCAATCAATAACAGAATGCTAAAAAAAAAAAAAAAAATTAAAACACATTTTGCCAACTGAGATAACATTACCAACAATATTTTGATTTATTATACTGAATTTCATTACTGTATTTCGAAGCCAACAATTTTGATTACTGTCTGTAAAATGAAACAATCATAATGAAGACATCCATAGGCAATATTTGAATAGAATAGACTTCTGTAAGTTTTGTACTCCTATCCAAAAACTTATGTGCACTGGTTTACACCTAAGCAGCACCATTTTTTAAATTAAAGAAAGGAAACCAACAACATTTTTCAACAGTACTAGAATATGAACAAATTTAATCAGATCAAACTCAAAATCACAATTGTACATCATATTTTATAAATACTACGTAATATGAATTCAAGTCCGGAAAATAACCCTATGCGGTTCACTGCTGGCAATGCTAGTATTAGTCTAAAGTCATATTGGTAATAACAGTACATGTATTTAGTTTTCACTACAGTATAACATTCTTGACTTGCACATGATGTTACCCATAACATAAAATTTTCTGAAAGATTAAAATACAGTACAGTATACAAATAGACGAACTACTGTATCTAGATACTTTTGGGGTATATATCCACTATGTAAAATAATGGTATACTGTATCAGACAATGGGTATGGAATACGTAACAGAAACCTTATAGTCAGTGATGTTATGACCGTCGGCAAAAATATTGGATCCTGAAAGAATGATTATGATAAAAGTTTGTCACAGGTTTGGTGTTTAAGAGGTTTATGGCAGTAAACATTATGATAATCATGGACATGATTCTAGCTATATGTAGTACATTTATTCTCGCTAACATCGTTTTTCATTCAGTGATTAATACTCATCAAACACGATCTTAAATTCACCTCTTCAGCCCAGACTAAACAGAGAATTTGTTTAAATTGCTCTAGCGTATGAAAAATGCCACTGCATTTGAATGAAGGCGATGTTCCAGCAAAGAAATGTATGGTTCTTTCATATTTACCTGGGCTTATGCTGTGCTGCATGACATAAGTAAAACAGGTTTATTTCACACGATCCGCACAACAGTTTAATAACGAAAATTATTCAGTGTTTCGTGATAGGAAAATAAAGTTGGAGGTAAGTTTGATGACGTCACGATTGCCTTTTAATGCTTATTCATCACGATCTAATATCATATTATTATTTAAAATACAGTAAAAAAAACTAGTAATACATATAATATAGTTCATAAAGACAAAAATTTGTAAAGAATTTTTTACAATACAGTATTATAATATACAGCTGGCAAAAAAATTACCATATTGATAGTTTATTTCCAAAGTCGATGTTTATGGAAATCCAAATGTTTTAATTATGTTTAACGGAAAGTTTGGTACGGAGCCCAATTGCTTTGTATGAATACCTGTTGTGGTTGCTGCTGTGTTTGTTGGCCAGCTTGCTGAGCCTGTTGGATAACCTGTGTTTGCTGCTGCGTGACCTGCTGTGTAGGTTGCTGTGGTTGCACTTGTATCTGCAGCTGCTGTGGCACAGGACTCATTGACTGGGCTACAGTGTGAAGCTGGGTCAGTTGTGGACCTGATGGATCAGTTGGCTGTTGCTGCTGCTGGAATTGTGTAACATTCTGTCGAACCTGTGATAAATCCACTGTTGTAGCTACAGAACCAGCATGAGATCCAACAAGTTGTGTAGCAGCTATTGAACCGGCCTGAATCTGAGTCACAGGAATCGGAGTAACAGTGATGCTACCTGATGAATGAAGGTTTTGTGAAACTGGAATTTGTATACCACTGGCACTGGTTATCTGTGAGACTGGTACCTGTGAGACTGGGATTTGGATCTGTGAGACTGGTATTTGAGCATTTAGAGTCTGAAGAATTGTTGGTTGTCCTTGGTGATGGATAATTCTTTGAATTTGTTGCACAGGTTGATAGTCTCCGCCACTCTGCTGACGCATTTCATTTATAGATTGGGAAAGCTCCGTCATGGCCTGTGTTAGTAAGTCAGTAGCTTGGACAGGTTCTCCTTGAATCACCTGAGCCTGTTGGCCATTGGCTGTTTCAATGTATCTAATTTGAATAGTCTGTGGTGCTTGCAGCTGATCTTGGTTTACTACTTGTTGTATTTCAACTGCCTCTCCTCCTTGATGATCTTGCTGAGCTTCGACTGTGATGGTTGCAGGGTGTCCTGTGGCAGCAGCGGCTAATGCAACCGCAGCAGCAGCCTCTCCAGATGGGAACACTACTTGGTCTCCACCAATTACAACTTGTTGAACACCATGCTGCATATTATCATGTACAATGATATGGCCCAATTCATTATTAAGCGATTCTTGCATAATAGCTATCTGGCTTACCACAGACCCTCGTTTAGACGAAACTGATGGTGTCTGCTGAGTAGTGTCCATATGTTTCTTGCGCACATGGTCCATCATTTTAGCTTTGGTACTGTACTGACGTGGGCAATGTGCACAAGCAAAGTAATGTGTGGTTGTTGTGCCAGCAGGAGCTGTATGAGGATCTCCTAGTGGACTGTTTGGGTCACCTTTGGTCACTCTCAAACTAGGAGGCAACTGGGCTCCTGGATGATTCTTCAAGATGTGTATTTTCCTTTTACTGCTGCTCTTATACACCTTCTCACAATATGCACAGAAATAATTACGATTTGGTTTTACAATTGGGAGATTTAACTCAGGAATAGAATCAATAACGACGTCAGGATGCATTTTAGCCAAGTGATTCACCAGCATACCACGTCGCTTAAAGCCAACTTGACAAAGCCTGCACTTGAATGTGAAGCGATCTACATCAGTGGGAGGGATTTGTGGTTTGAATGGAATCTTCCTTGGCTTGTTAGCATTCATGGCAATCTCTGCTTCTCTTTGCGGATTGTGCATACGTTGCATGTGTTCTTTTAATTTGTCCTTGCGCTTGAACTGTTTTCCACAGTTGGCACAAAGGAAGTCCTTCTTGTCTGAGTGTCGCAGAAGATGGAGACGAAGTTTGTCTGGTCTCGGAAAAACTTTGTCGCAATGATCACATGGAAATTCTTTCTGAGAATGGAAGCTACGAATATGTTTTTTTATCTGTGGGTATTCATTAAATTTCTTGGGACAATGTGGGCATTCATACTGCCCATTTTTGCGATGAACCTCTACATGGCGTTTAAGCAGATCTCCTTTTTCGAATGATTCTTCACAAAAAGGACACTGCAAACACCTCTCTTCAGCATGAATCTTCATATGACACGCTAGAGCAGACCGACTTTGTACTGCTTTGTTGCAGACTTCACAATGAATCAGGTTCTCATCATCTTTAGTGTGTAATTCCATATGTTTCTCCAGCTTTTCTTGGTCCTGTAGGAATCTTTTACATATTTCACATCTGAAGGCATCACGATATTGATCTGCAATGCCAGGCTTATGCTGACCATGAGCACTGGCATGCAACCATAATGTCTTCTTATCTTGGAACTCTTCATCACATTCTGGACACACCAATTCAGGCGACAGTTCATCGTCATCCTCTTCATCATCATTTGTAGCCTTCACATCATCAACTTCCATTGCTTCTTTGTCTTTATTCTCACCTTCATCGGTGATACCTGCTTCTTTTGCAGCTGTTTCTATTACCTCAGTTACAAAAGACAATGGTTGTAATGCACCATCTGATTCTTTTTCATCTACTTCCATTGTTTCATTCATGTCATGAATGTTACTGTGGAGTTCAAGAAGCTCATTACTCTCAAAGCACAAGTCACATTGAAAGCAAGGCCATATATCTTCCTCCTCTTCATCAATTCCACGACGACTTCTTCTTTGTCCTGCTTGTGCTTCCTCTTCATGTTTCTTCATGTGTCTCAGCTTGTTGTATGTATGAGCAAAGGTTTTCTTGCAAACAGGGCAAGTAAAATTCTTCTCTCCAGAGTGCATCAACATATGACGGGTTAAGCTGTACAGCCTGGCAAACTGCTTACCACATTCTGTACATGCATAGCCATCTTGTGTTCGCAGCTTTAACCCCTTTGCTCGTTTAAGCTTAGCTACTGCTAAACGGCTACGATACCCTTCAGGATACTTTCTAGGCCGCCCTCTTCTACCCTTTTTTCCTCTTTGTGGTTTAGTATGGAGTGAATCATGGGTTGCAAGGTGACGCTGAAGCAGATCTGATGTGCGGAATTTTCTGTTACATTCAAAGCAAGGCCAAGTCTTGTCATTTTCTTCCATTTCTGAAAATTATTTGTAATCTCTATTAGTCAAATCTATTATAACAACACCATATGTAGTAACATTTTGGTACCATACCTGTTTAGGTTAAAGTCCTGTCAAAACCATCAAATTATATTTGACAAAAGCATTTGACATGTCTTACTGTAATTATGTTCATGCTGACATCACATCATGACTATATATAGGCATACAACAGTTTTTGTCAAAGAAAATTTGATAATCTAGACAGAGCTAAGGGATATATATATATATATTTTATATATTTATTATTATAAATTATAATTATTATATATTATTATTATATATTATATATTTTAAATCATACCTTGAACCTCCTCTGCAGTGGCTTCCAGAACACCCACTCCAACAAACTCTGCATATGACTTAGTATACCAGACCTTCAGTTCAGTCTTCGGATCAATGTTCTTCATAGTGGCAAAATAAATGTTGCCTTCATGTTGAAATGCAACAAGGTTCTGCTCACTGTACCGTTTGGCTGGCCGGATAAACATCATCCAGTTGCATTCTGACTCATCAGAACAATCCATGAACAATGTTGATTGGTCTGCCTTCTGGACCTGATAAATCAATCAATCAATCAATCACTTATAAAATGATATATATTAAATTGGGTTATAAGCTAATATGTGCTGGTAATATATAATTAATTCAATCGATCATGTATAATAATTCTTGTAACTACGACAACTTTTATATACAGCATATGTAATTTATATGAAACATAATATAAAAGAAATGTCTGTCAAAATTAAGAAACAAAGGAGACAAATCATGGGCAGGAAGCAAACTGAATAACAAGTAGGTTGAATAGTAATAAAGACATAAAAGGAGAAAAAAAAAACAATCATACCTTCCATTTGATTACTGCATTTGCCACTTCATCTTCTGTATTCCGAAGTTTGCCCTCCAGTGGTCCAAACTGAGTTCGTTTTGGAACATTTTTACGAGCAAATACACCTGAAAATAAATATATGGTCATTTATATATAAAAATTCTGAGCGATTTTTTAGGAGTTTCAGAATTATACACAATATGCCACTTTCACTATTCACTAGGGAATATTCCTAGTTATGCATGAAAAATCAATAGACCAAATAACTTTGCCTCCAAATCCAAACAGAGACCCATTCTTTTTTAGAGGGTGGGGTATGGGAAACAAATAAAGTGCTTTGCTTAAGGCCACAATCACATGTTTCTTGTGCTATATAAATGTTATTTTATTATTATCATCATCATCATCACCATTACCAATTAAAATCCTACCTATTTGGCCATCCTCAACCTTGAATATCTGTAACATGGCTGGCAGACTAGCCCTTGCACGAGAGGTTACAGGCTTATCTGCGATGGTATGAAATACACCCTGCTTCAGAAAATCCTCTTCATTAAATGGTTCATTCTTTTCATCTTCTAAAAAACACAATTTTAGTTAAACCAGGTAGGAATAATAGCATAGGTAATAATAATTGACATCTATATCAATTATTATTACCTATGCTATTATTCCTATCTGGTAATAATAATTGACATCTATATCATCGTGCCATTTATAAGATGTTAATAAATAGCAATAAAACATAAATGTTCATAAAAATTAAATAAAGTATTATCAAAATGTTTTTAATACTAGAGTCCATAGAAAAAAAGTCAAATTACCTTCTTCGTCAATTTCAAAGTCTGCGTTGAGGTTTATGGGTTTAATTGATTTTCTACGAGGGCGAATTATAGAACTAGCTTCATCTTCATGGGCATAAGGATTTGTGAGGGCAATCTTTGATCCCTTTTTCCGCCCACGTTTCTTAGGGCTTGTTACACCTGAGGTGGAAGCAGTCATCTCATCATCTAACTGGTTCTCCTGTAGCATAGCTGGCACATGAGGTATGATCTCACCTTCACGTTCCTGAATGCTAAGTGCTGCTTGCAAGAGGAAAAGGTCAGATGGTGGCTCACTTAGAACCCCTGTGGAATCTGGTATGGATGTACCATCACCAGTCTCAGTTTCTGCAATTAGAATAATATGCAATGCAGTTAACATCATCATACAAAAACACTGAGGTAAGTAAAACAAAATGAGAATTTCCAAAAAAACAAGCTTTCTTGAAGGAAGTTATGTATTCAGTAGGGAGCTTTTGATTGCACGATGTAACATGACGTCACTAAAAGTCATCTGCGCATGCAAAATGTTAAATTCTCCCCATCGCATGGATTCTAGGATGCAATTTGGCTAGGCCAAGCTGATTAGGCCAAGCCGTCCAAGCCGTCACGGTAAAAGTGGCCATCCTAAATAATTGTAGGCCATCTAAAAGACTGCCGGACGGCTCGCTGGCTAAGCCTGTGATCTAAGGTGACTGGGTATAAAATAAATTGTCAAAGGTCAAGGATACAAAGGTTAAAAAACATAGCTAAATTGGTGTTGTGAAGGTATGCAGGTGCATTATTTAGTTATTAATAAAATATTTTTGCATAATTGCAAGTGGTGTTTGTTGTGCGAGTAAGATACTAACCATTGACATCTGTAGCAATCTCCTCTACACGGATGCTGACAACATTGGGTGGGTTGGTATCAGCTGACTGAATTGTCTCTACCATCGTTGATTCGGGCTCATGGCTACTGGATTCAGCTTCTGAAGACAATGCAAATCGATTCCTTGTACTGTCCTACAAAGCAAGAAAAATAGAACACAAATAAATTACTTTTAAATGGTACTTATTCTCCACATAAGCAAGTTTGGGAACCAATAAGAAAACCTTTTACATTAAAATGCTTACTGAACAAACAAAAAGTTACAATTGTACCATACAATAAGTAACAACTCAATACAAAAAATTACATTAATATTAATACTTATTACTAATAAAGATTGATGAAGTAGCAAACAACTTCTAAACTTTATAGAATGTTCATGCCGAGCATAAGTATGTTTCATCAATATAATGTGAATACTGTAGTTATTGTTGAAGACATCAATTCTGTACCACTTTAAAAATCAGTGTAATAGTACTGAAAGTGCCTACAGTATAAAGAAAGAATAAATAAAATCAAAATAACAATTAACAATAATTAGGATAGTATTGTAAGGCAAACTGAGTAAATGGGGCCTACCTGTTGGCTTGTGCCCTGTGAGCTTGACACACCATCATCTTGCTCACCACCCTGGGAGGCATGTGGTGGCCACACAGGCTCACGTCCATCAGCTTCCATCGGCTATTTTTAAAACTACAGTACAGCATAAACACTGCAAATTGAATTAATATACTGTATAATATTTGCTTTCTTGCTTTATAATTGAATGGTGTCTTGCAAGTATTGATACTGGAGTAGTTATTATATCATAATAACTTTTTATTTTTCACATCATCATGATTAATCTAATGACATCATTATTTGTTAAACAATATGTTGTAATCAAGGCTGATGGAGTAGTGGGAATAAAGTCAAAGACCAAGTCACAAAGAGTCCCCTGAAACAACCTGCTGCCTTGAAATCTCCAAAAACAAGATATGTATATTTCTCTTTCTAATTAGGCCTTAAAAAAAACCCCGCCCTAACTCACGAAAAAAATAGGGGCGTCAAAACAAAATAACTTAAAAACAAATTTTTTTTAGCTTTTTTCATTACAAATTTAAAAACATGTGTGCGGAATTGATCTAAATTTTTTGCCAGATGCCCTACAAAGTTGTCTAAAGTTCTTGTCTGATGTAAGGTATTACCATTCTACGCCTACATACATTGCAAAATGTCAACTGTGGGTAATTTGTATTCCATCTAATGAGGAAAAAAAACATTTTTCCACCTGCCCCTTTTTATCATTTAAAAAAAGAATTTATTTTTTAGGTCTTATAAATTAAAGCATTTAACCATCCCATTACTACACTGTTCACATTCACCAATAATTTTTTTTTTTTTGCATTTTCTCTTCCATCTAGATGTTTTTGGAAAAACATTTGCTAAATAAGAAAACATTCTATTTTTATTTTTCTTCCACCCTCCTCTGACGACCTTTAAAATAATTAGTTGGAGAAACAAGGTATAAAAAACTCTCACCTCATGTTGTAAACTTACATATTATAATGGAAATTGCACAATATAAATGAATAAATTAGTAACTCACATCATAATAGCATTTGCAGTACCCACTGCTACTTGGGGATCGGATTCAACATTAGCCACTAAGCGCAAGCTCGGTAGTCTAGTGGTTATTGCGCCAGGTTACTTATCTGGAGGTCGCGGGTTCGATTCCACCCAAATCACTTATTTTTCCCACAAGTATTTGGGACGCACTGAGTATTTGGTACGATAATATGTCAGGTAGAACAAAACATCACTCATTTTATTATTATTATTGTTATTATTATTATTATATTATTATTATTATTTATTATTATTATAAACTTATATCAAAAATTTGAAGAGGTTCAACATACAGCATCTAAAAGTTATTTTATTGAAATAGACTATAAAACTAAACCTTCTACATATAATTACTTCAATATGCATGTTACAGATAAGATCACTTTTTAAATTGTTCAACATGTTGAAGAATAATTCCAATATTTGTTCACTGAGAATGCTTTGGAATTCTTGTAATATCCATTGCTGCAGAACAGTCTTTATTTAAGACCTAGTCAGTGGCAGATCCAGATATTCTAAATAGAGGGCCAAAAGGAGGGACTTTTACAGATGGAGAGTGTAGACCACCTCAGCCTGAGCGTCACCATGAGCGTCACCATGATTAGGGCTGAGGCAAGACAATTTATTAGCAACTTTAGATGGCTGGAAATGGAACTCTCAGACCTAAAGTTGATTATGCTTTTCCTTTTTTCTCCCATTTTTTAATAATTTTGAAAAAATATAAAATATCCGCTACTGATAGTACTACGACTTTGTAGCAACTACGACTACCTGAAATTTGAAACTTAAAATCTAACTGAAAATGCTTTTTAAATTCCTATTAGTATAAAAGTTTTTTTTTAGTAGTTATGACACTTTCATTGATACAATTGTACATTGCAACTTAAATTATGTTTAGGTCTGTCGATATTTTCTTATGTCGGTGTTCTAAAATCTCTTGATTTTCATATGTATAATAGTTGCATAAGACTCAAGAGCAGTGGCGTAACATATCACAGACCCGGGGACGAGAAATCATTGAGCCCACAAAAGTGGCTGAGAACCCTTCACAGTAGAATATCAAATAATACTGTAGCTTGTTATTACTATTTTGAAACCAATTGAAACTCTCTGCTAACTCTCATAGCCCTTTACTTAATTATTTCGAACTTTTTACATTTCACTTTTGGTGAGGAATTTAAATACTGATGTCATAATGATGAGTCCACATACATAAATAATAATTAAAGGCATTTGTGGGTTAAAAACACCTGGAAAAAATTGAAACTGATTTTCCGTACTGGACTGCTGTTATGACAAGGCTCTGTTAGTGTCTCCATTCCCCTCCCCCTCCCTGATAGTTTGTTACGTGCACTGCATAAGAGTTTTGCACCTGCCTCGCTAAACCATACTCTCTCCACTAGGCCTAAAGGCTATATATATACTACAGCAGGCAGGATAGGCAGGCTAGGCCTAGCATAGGTATCTGTTTACAATAATAGAGCCTAGGCCTAGGCTAGATTAAAATTAATGGGAAAACTTTCATATTAAATCTTACGATTTTCCGTGTTCATCTGACAGATTATAAGGATTAGAACAGAGGATAAGCTAAGCCACCTCATACAACAACAGGAACAGGTGAAACGATATAGTAGCACCCCTTTCTATATCATTGTATTCTCCCAAAAGTGGAATGCTCGTAAATAGAAAATGGACTATCCTGGGGCAGGCCTACTCCATTTCCTTCTCGTGTATTCCCAAAAAATATTTTTGGCGAAGCATTCAAGCACTTCAAACGTTAAATTTACCAACTTCAGTTGTAACTATTTCACTTGAAAACAGAAACAATCGTTTAACTTAATTTATTTTATTCAATAAATAGCTATAAATGTATTCAGACGAAATTTTTGTTGAAAGGAAACCATTTACTATGTTGTATGACTCGAACGATGTGACATCACAATCCCTGAACCCTTCGCCATCTTTCAACGACGACCTCCCCTATCCAAAATGGTTGTCGTTCCCGCAAAAGTAAAGTTTAGTAAATGTTTAATAATAATCCAAACAAATAGCAGATAAGTGTGAGTCCTAAACACATACACAGTCCAATTTCATGATAAATATGACTTCAATATTTAATTTGAACTTACGGATAATGCTTTTACAATAAAATAAAGCAAGAAATAAGCAAAAAATGACGGATCGGGTAAGTCAAAACCTACCCACCCTGGCCTGGTCGAAACGTTTTCGTGTGCAATATTGGGAGAAAATCAGCGCTTCAAAAAACACGGTACATATATTGGTCCGATAAGATGTACTTTTTCAGGTTTAATACAAGTCACTAGTAGTCATAATAATCATAAATTGAAGCAAGATTTAGAAATATTAAATACAAATTGTACACGTACCTTTCCTACCTCTTGAAATGCGTCGTTTATGCCAAACACAATGTTGCCCATGCAAGCCAGCTATTGATTGGTTAAAACGTAGACGACAAACGCCATTGTGTATCAAATAAAAAACTAATTTACAGCTCACAAATTAAAATGATTGAAATTCTTACATAACGGTGGTATATAAATAATATTCTTATGATACTTGATTATTTTTTTTTACACATATTAGGGTTTAAAATTAAAACTCGTCGAATCGAGTATTCGTAAAATAGCCAATAAAAACATACGTTTAACAACGGGTGCGACGGAGAAGCTCATGAATATGTATGACTTAAGATATTCACGCATTGCATTCACTGGATTATATAATCAGATTAATGTACACACTGTACAGAGAGGCCGAGAGCTAACATAAAGTTTCACCTCATTTTGCCTAGGTTTGACCCCCCCCCCCCCCACTGTTGGTTAGGCCGTCAAAGGCATTGAAAAAAAAAAGGTATGTAAGACGAACCCCGGGTGCCTCCCCACCCAGACCCCCACGAAAAACCCCCAAAACCGGTAAATTTTACCCTATCCAGGGTAGGGGTCTTACATCATCTTTCACACTCTGGTATCAAGTGGTGATGTGCAACGATATGTTACTTTGTTGGGGAAAAATTTGGTCCAGTCAATCAATCAAATTCAATATATATTATATATATATAGAGTTGCATATAATATAAATCAAGACAGCCTTTAACACTGTTAAATTATATTTATATAAATTATCAAAGTGTCCTTTATTCGAACACTGTATTTACCTTTCTTTAATGATTTATATATATGTGTATATATAGGGCCTATATATAACAGTATATATATATATAACATATATAACAGTATATATAACAGTATATATTTTTTTTCCATGTGCTACATGTGGTGAATTTTCTCTACACTGTCATATTAGGAAGTTTTGCCAGTGCATTAAGATAGGAATGTGGGAAGGTGGTGGGGGTAATTTGTCTTACCAACCTGATATTGATTTTTTGTGATGTAGAAAAAGAGTTGGTCCATGGGTAACATAGGGTGATTTCTCTACACACTGTCATTTAGGAGGTTTTGCCAATGCATTAAGATAGGAAAGTGGCTAGGTGGGGTACCTTGTAGAGGGGGTCTTACATCACCTTTCCAAACTGATTATGTAAGATTTAGGTTTTTTTATGATGTGCACTCAGTTACTAATTGTTCTGACAAATTTTGGTTTATGTGCCAGATAAGGTGAAATTGACCGGTTTTTGGGGAGGGGGCCTGGGGTCAGACCCAATCCCCGGTGTTCATCCTGCACACCTTTCTTTAATGTCTTTGAAGGCCTAACCAACCTTAGGGGGGGAACCCTTTTAGGAAAAATGCATGGGGTGAAATCTTGTATTGCCAGCTCTCGGCCTATCATATTGCTTTTTTTTAATATAGCCTATCGCTGATATTTTTAATTTAATTTTACCCGCTTTTTTAGCGAACACTCGTGAAAATTACGTTCTCAATGGTTCTTATTTGCATTGCTGTCCATTTATGGTAGAATAATACCTTAAATAAAAAATAAATAAATAAATAAAAACAATAAATAATTTATTAGGAACTATCTCTTTCTTTAGTGGCACACTTCTCAATAGAAGGTGCTTCCAAAGCAATGCAGTAAAGTTTACAAAGATACAGTACTTAATTCAACTAATATAAAAACAGTTTCAAAAAGAATATCAAATCGTAGTCTTGTGGGCTGATAGGGAATCGGCGATTAAGTGCACTGCTCGCAAAATATGGTGATTTTATCTAGGCCTACTTGAGCGTGAGTTTTTTACTTCATGGGTGACTTGGTGGCGAGAGCTTTCAGTCCGCCCCTATAATGCGCCACTGCTTATAATTAAATGGAAAATAAGTGTAATATTCTATAAGTACAGTATCTTTTATGAGCTAAAAATTATATTACATATTTTAATTGCTTAATTTTTGAGTTAAGTTATTAACTTGTAATCAGTGGTGCTATAATACAATTCTTTTATTCATTGTATTCTTTTATTATTACAGAAGTAGGGCCTACTGTTATTGCCTTTATTATCGCTGATATTTTTATTTTACCCGCTTTTTGGCGAACACTCGTGCAAAATACTACGTTCTCAATTGTAGGTTGTATTTGCATTGGTGTCCCATTATGGTAAGCTAGTATACACATCTAATAAAAACAATAAATATATGATAAATAGTTCTCTTCTAATCAGATCAACTTTATTCCCGTATGGGAGAGCAAGTACAAATACCAGTAGGTCTACAAATATTGTTAAAGGTAAAATTCTCAATAAAGCGGCAATTTTAATCCGATAAAATAATACCGTACGTCTCAATGTTGATTGAATTATAAGCCTTCAATAGAGTTGGTGCGTCCAAAACAATACAGCAAAGTTTTACAACGATACTTCAACTAAAATAAACACAAGTTGAAATTTCAAAAGGAACATACAAATCAACTTTTTCCCCGTGGGTTGATGGGGTCTAGATCGCAAACTAATTTATATCTAATTGAGTGCGAGTTTTTTGCTTCATGGTGATTTGGGGCACAAGCTTCTTTTTCTTTTTGGTGGGGGGGGGGAAAGAGTATTTTTGCGTTTGCTGTTCCATTATGGTAGGTCTAGTATACTCATCCAAATAAATAATGTATAAGTAATTCTCTTAAAATCAGATCGACTTTATTCGCGTATGGGAGAGTGTAAGCACCAGTTAAAGGTAAAATTCTCAATAAGGCGGCAATTTAACATATTACAGTATATCTAATAATGACGTTTCAATGTTAATTGAATTGTCATTAAGACTTAGACTATGGTTTATATTAGTCTGAGAAGTGAAAAAATGATGAAAAATGAATTGTAATATTCTATTAAGATGTACCGTATAGGCCTATTGTCTTCCATGAGCGAAAAATTGAAATTTTAAGTTTTAGACCACATACTGGGGATCTTCGCTGGAAAAGCCACCCTTGAGAAGTAAAGTTTAATAAATAAATACTGTAAATGTTTTAATTTCAATTTTTTAAAAATATATTTTTGAGTGCCTTGATTTACATAAGTTGATGTAAATGTTTATAATAATAAAATTCTAGATTTATATAGCGCCTCAAGTTGTCACAACCTCGAGGCGCTTCCATAACTAATAATATGGATTTTCGAGAGCACCACTTGTTCTCAAATTGTCGATACACAATGGTGATTTTTGCAAGTGTGTGTACTGTGTATTTCTTTAAATTTAAATTTGCTACTTTCCATGATCCTTTATGAAGTACGTACTGTACACCTGTGTATAATGCAATGTTTGGACTTGTTATAATAAAATCCTTTGAGGTAGCGACTTGCTTGCACTGTAATCGCTACGTACTATAGCCGAAAGGTATCGCAGCGAAGATGCTGATTGGTTGCTAGAATGAGGAACCTTCCCGATTGCATCAGAGGATAGGGTAGTGACTTTATGGAAACCAGATTTTATTAGACAATGATACTGTAGCTGAAAAATTGAACATTTCCATTCGGTTTTCGTTGTCAATATTCACGTACACATAATAAATATCAGTCAATTCAAAGATGTTGCATTTAACGTATTGTTTTAGTTGATCCTGAACCTCACTAATTCATACTTCTTTCATGAGTGTATCGGTATAATGCTGTTGAAAAAAATCCTGTCTGACCTAAACCAGAGAAGTACCAGGTTTACTCCATGTTGAAAAATAGTTAAAAACGGATTACAGTATGTATAAACATAACACAACCACAGGAAATTTAATTTCTTAGAATCTACACAAAATTAACTACTGTAAATCAAAGTGCAAATTTTACTATACAACTATGGAGCGCCATCATTTTATATTTTCTTATTTTCACACAGTACAGATATTCAAAACACAGTCCTTTTAGTTTGTCACTCGTAATTGATGTGAAAGATGTTAAATGTTGAACATTTATCAACAAAATACATTCCATATGCAGCCATGGATCTACAGTACATAGCCATGTTTCAAAATGAATTACCCAATTATTAAGAAAGCTGTATTTACAAAACGATTCATTAATATTTAGATTACAGAAGTAAATTTTGCCAATGTCATAACCACAGATTCTAGGTATACGTATTTGTGATATGTTTTAGTACAGTATACTTTACAGCTGTACATATGCATACATTATGTCTACTCAGTTTAAAGATATATTGTCTGTAAAAAAATATCAATCAAAACAATTAATTAGCTCCTTTCAAAATATAATAATACACGTAGTATAAACTTTCAGAGGATCAAGACACAAATCTGATCTACTTATTTGCTGATTTACAGAATTTTTTAAGGAAAAAAAATTCTTAAATGAGTCTGAATTACTTTATATGTCTGTCGATTGGCAAAGAACACCCCCATTTTCCTGTCTTAATTGTCTACAAGAATTTTAAAAAATTAATTATAATATGATACAGTATATGAATTACGGAGCTTAAAAATGAACAGCGTTTCAGTGTTTTGGTATGTAAATTTTACAGTAGCTTAGTAAACTGAAATACAATAATTTTAAATTTAAATGGTAAATCTAAATTGTATATTATTTATCACTATGTCATGATTAAATAGCAGCTGACCAAGGGTCATTCAACATTCTCGTAAGTTACTTGGGTTGTTGCCTGGGTCACCTCTGCTTCAGACACACGTCCAGATAACTCAACAAACTGCTGCAACACACGAACACCCTCTACAACATCTGGTGTAAGATTTGCAGCAGTTCCATCATCAAGTTGTAAAATGGTCTCAGTGCCAGTTTCTCCAGTAACTACATTCTCTAAAGTCTGAACTTCTCCATCCTGACCGGAAGTGACGACAACCTCAGGAGACTGGATGATGTGAACAGTGAAACCTTGCTCGGGATTACCCTGGATAACAGATCCAAGAACTGAACTGAGACTACTAGCTGGAACAGACAGCTCTTGTATTACGGTTCCAGATTCTGCATCAAATTTAGCATGTTCAATTTTAATTATCTCCCCTTCCTTACTAATATCACTTTCTTCATCATTTTCGTCACCATCTCTATTTCCCACCTTACTTTCTTTTGAGTTCATACTGGTATCTGAGTACATGACTGGATTGAAGTCAGGAGCCGCAACATCCGGATGTTTGCGACGCATATGTCGACGATATGAAGCCACAGTCTTCAAGAATGTTCCACATTGTTCGCAGTGACATGAATTCTGGAATTCATGATGCTGTTTAATATGTTTATTTAAAAAGTACTGACGTGTAAACTTGTGCCCACAAAGGTCACAAACTAGTTTTGAAAGTTCATCGTGGATCAAAGCATGACGTTTCAAAAGAGCCGGGTTGTTGAATTTACGTTTACATACCTCGCACTCAAAATTGAATGTTTGATTGTGTGTAAGGAGGTGCTTGTTCAAATTTCCTTTTTGAATGAATGTCTTATCACATAAAGTACACTTAAAATCACGCTGATTACGATGAATTTTCAAATGCATGTCATATGCAATGCGGGATTTGAACTTCTTATTACATTCTTTGCAGTTTGCCACAGTTTCTTGTGTATGGGTTCGGATGTGTGCCTTCAATGAGTCCTTCCGATTGAACATCTTTCCACATGTGTCACACATAAACTCCTGTTGTTTCTCATGAGCCATTCGTTTGTGCTTGGCCAATCTGGCTGGCTCAAGAAACACACGGTTGCATTGATCACAAGCACAGCTAACCATCTGCTTTTTAATTTCTTTGTCAGTGACAATCATTTCCTGATGTTCTTCAGTATGTATAATAATCTCTTCTTCAGAGGTAAGAACTTTAGGACATATGGTACATGGCAGGGCCTCAATTGAATGAAATAGCTTCAAATGGTTAATGAAGGATTTTTGGGTGCTAAATTGGCAGTGACATTCAGGACAGATATTCTGAATTGAGTCCTTCAGATAAGGGATCTTTACAACTTGTGTGTTACCTTCAGTATCATGGACAACTTTGTAATGGATTTTCATGTGTGTTTTAAGAGCAGTTTTAAATTGAAATTTTCGGCCACACATATCACAGACATGTAACTTTGGTAAATGCTTCTTCTTATGACGTTTCAGGGACCAAGGATCATCAAATTTCTCCATACAAACTTGACACTGGAATTTATCAATTTCTAACATCATCTTGTCTTTTGCTTCTTTGTATTTTATAATATCTTCTTCCTTGCATTCATGGCTGTCCATGTTATCCTTAAATTTAAATGCTGCACCACAATCCTCACAGGTCAGTACATGTTGCATATCAAGGTCAATACGGCAGTTATGTCGATGGACACTGTCTTTACGTTTAAACACACTATCACAATGACTGCACTTGTAGACAAGATTGCTGTGCTTTCGCATATGCTTGTTGTATACATTTCTTCTCAAGAACACATTTGGGCATGTTTCACATTTATATGTTTTTGACATATCAATTCCAATGTCTACTTCAGGATGCTCTGATAAAATATGCTCCTTTTGGGACATCTCATGAAGGAACTTCTTATCACAGTAATCACATGCATATGGTTTCTCTTCATGCATTGCCATATGACGATGAAGGTTTTGTTTAGTTGTACATACTCGTCCACAAAGGCTGCATGTAACATCGTCTGGGTCTACACTATTATCAAGGTCTTCCACTTTCTCTCCTTTGGCCTTATGATATGCCAAATGCTCCATGTAAAGGTAGCGTCTGTTGAACTGCACACCACATAATTTACATTTCAGGTCATTCCGAAGTTTGAATTCAGATTCTGTACCTTGTCCACTATGAACTGCCATGTGGCGTCGTAAGTTTCCCTTTGATGCCATCTCTTGGTTACAAATCTTGCACTTAAATAAGTCCTCAATTACAGATGACTGTTTAGAAACTATGATTTTGTGTACAGTGCGCATGTGTTCATGAAGACGACGTTGACTTGGAAATATCTTAAGGCATATGTCACATGGAAGCGTTTTTTGCTCGTGTACTTCTTCTACATGTCGCTTTAAAGATGGCTCATGGATAAAAACTTTTGCACAGTATTCACAGAAATATTCACTCTTCATTGAATGTATGACTTCTAAATGTTTCTTTAAGCTGCTCTGTGTTCCAAAAACTTTTTCACAGAAATCACACCGGAACATTAACAAATGATGAACTTCATGCATGTGAGTAATATACAACCCTGGTTCCTCACATACAGCACTGCATAGGTCACAGGTAAAATTTTCTGACTTTTTCTGTTCACAGTCATCTAAACTTTCTTCTTGTGTGGCTAACTTGATGTTATGGTCTAGGATAAGATGACTTGTGAGCAGACTTGTAGAAGGGAACTTGTGGCTGCACATAGAGCAACCTAAATCCTTCCTTCCATGTTCTTCTAGAAGATGAGCTTGAAGAACAGCTTTCAAGAACCTTTTGCTACATATTCCACATGGAATTAGATCTTCAGAGTGCATTAGCACATGTTTATTATATGCTTTCATTGATGTCAATGTTAAGTCGCAAGCCTTGCAGGGTATACCTTGATGAGATCTTAACATATGTGACTCATAATCAGTCTTCTTCCAGAATCCTTCTCCACACTCCAAGCAAGAGTAAATATCAACATTTTCTAGCTTATCAAGATCATCTTGGTGGTGTTTTAAGTAGTGCTGAACAAGTTGGGTTCGTGAATCAAAGTGTTTTTCACACATTTCACATGAATGCTTTTCATTCTTACGTGGTCTTCCTCTACCTCGCTTCTTGATACCAGTAGATGCTGCTATCTCAGATGCTTCATCTTCCTCTTGAACATTAGTCATTGCTTCCGCAGCAGCTTTCTTGGGTGATGGTGTTATGATCCTTGTGGATTTTCTAATTCCTTGTGGGGATGGTTGTGTTTGTTTCTCTTCAGGTTCTGAAGCTTTAACTTCCAGATGCAAATTTGTGTGAACTTCACTCTGAACATGATCAATCAGCCCAAACTGATCTTTGAATACCATTTTACATTCCATGCATACCCAATCAATACCCTTACCACCTATTTCACCTCTGGCAATAGAGGTACTGTCTTCAACTTTTTCATCAGAACATTCCTCTGCATTCTTTACATTGTTCTCACAATGACTGCTACAGCCTTGTACACTGCAGAGATCCTTTTCATCAGCAGAATGAATATCACCATCATTCACCTTAACTGGAATGTTATTGATCAAATCTGGTTGTTCCTCAATCAGCATTGGTTCTTCATTATTGTTTATCTTTAAATTTTGATCATCTTTAATATTAAATAATTCTTTAACATTAAATTTCCTTCCTGTTTGACGATGAGATCTTCTTGTTGCCAATGGAGTCACCTTCCCAATAGTTTGTGACTTATGACCTCTGCCTACAGATGATGTCTTTGTAGGTGATGTAGCTCCTTCTTTAATTATTTTCTCAGGAGTTATTGTTTCTTCGGTTGAGCTTTTCCTCTCAATGTTCTCACTGTTATTATCTCTTTTCCTCTTCAACAATTTTTCATCCCCTTAAAATAAGAAAGAGTTTGAATAATAATACTTTGTTCTTATACTTTAAAATCATGTTTTGACATAAATTGAAAATACAGTATAAAAAAAAAATGTACAATAGAGTGCTGAAACACTACCTGAGTTTGTTCTTGATTTAAGTTCTTCTTTTCCAAGCCGAGACCCATAATGAGGGGCATACCAAACTAAGAGTCTCTCGTCAACATCTATATCTTTTGTGGCTGAGAAGAGTATACCATCTTTATATTGAAAAGCACTGAGATTCTGTTCTTGTGCATTGTTTGCTGCTCTTACAAGACACATCCAGTTGCACTTATCTTCATTGTTTGTATCAAGGTACATAGGTTCTTGGTTCTTTTTGAAGATCTAAATTGTATTAAAAAAAAAAAACTTGTAATAAAATAAATTTACTTTTTATTCTTATAAAAAATATGTATGCTTTCATATCATTCTATGTTAACAGTCAAATAATTCATTATGAAAATGATAGTAACAAATACAGTACAATAATATATGAATTTGCGTCAGGAAAATATCATAGGAGTGATATTTTGCAATACCTGACGCAAGCTCGGTGGTCTAGTGGTTAAGACATCAGGCTAGATACCTGGATGTCGTGGGTTCGATTCCCACCCGAATAACTAGTATTTGGGGACATACGATATGACAACATGTCAGGTAAAACAAAACATCCCTCCTAAAAAATGTATTTTGTATGTATTGTTGCTGATTTTTTATTTTTTATCAACGTCAATGATGATACGAGTGCTAAAGTAATTCATACCTTCAAGCAGAAACCACCTTTTATTTTGTGGTCAACATCTACTACCAAGTCTCCTTCATAAGGACCAAATTGTGTCCCTTTTGGGATTGCCATCCCTGCAATAACATGCTTTTCACCATTAATAACTTTTAAGTTGAGACTCCTTGGAAGACTAGCTTCAGCTTTGCTTAAAATAGGTTCTCCAAGGATGTTAAGTATGGTTCCAGCCAGAGGGCAATCCGTATTATGGCTATCTTGGCAATCTTCGCACCCTGAATAAAAGAAAAATGTATGAAAAACTTAATCGAGATTTGTTCCCATTCATACAAACAACTTTTTTTTTTTTAAATTTTAGAATCGATTTAAAGTACTTACATGCTGTAGGAGTATTCTCATTACATTCCATTTCATGGAGTTGGAATGTCCTTTTGTAGGAGCCTACAATGAAATTAAAAATGTTCAGATGTTTGAAGATCCAGCTTCTTTAGTTTATCACAAGACAATTTATAAACTACTATGAATATTTGATCATGTAATCAGAGTTCTGCATATCTATAAGAACTGGTAAATTTCCTAAAAAGAATAATTAGGTTTGCTGTACTAAAATTTATATTACTGTGGTGTAAAGGATTATATACGAAAACAGAAAGTGTTTGCTACTTTGTGCCATATTGAATATGGCACCATAAATAAATAATGACCAACTTTAATATTTTCATCATAACAAAGAAAGAAAAGTGGGGTTTTTAATCACCATATGTAACACATTGTATTGTAATTGTAAACATGATTAATTTAATTATCATTAAAAAAAAAATCAATCAATCAATCAATGTGACATTTATTTCACCAATGACAATTAAAAAACAGAATACAATGGTGAGGGAACAGTTTAGAAACCTAGGCTTGGAACTTGTCTCAGCTGTCCCTTGTTGACAGATGATTAAAAAAAAAAGAAATAAAAGTTAAAACAAACAAAACAAAAGAGAGATCATAAAATAACCTATTATTGATGATTTGACGTATATAAACTTCCTTTTTTAGGAGTTTTATAAAAGTCATAAGAGTTTTTTGATGTTTTTAGTTTAATAATACTATTAATATTGTTCCATACATGTGGTCCATGGACACACATTGAGAATTGGCTTTTAGTCAGCCTAACAAACGGAATTATTACAAAGCCTATTTTAATTTTTGTCTGTAAACTATATGTCAGGGGTGGGCATACCCTACCTAATCTTGGATTGCTTGATAAACTATTAATCTAGCATCAATAAATAAATAATAATTCAATCTCATTGTTGTAGGCCTAACTTGTTTGTATTGTATGCATGTCAATAATGTGGTAGGCCTACTAGGCTAGGTATGCACATATGCATTCATGATGTCAAAATAAGGGAAATAAAATATGCAATTTATTTATTGCGGATGAGAACATCATGCACACAACGTTTCAACTTGACAGATTGGAACTAGACTGCACTTACACTGTCCCGTATTTTCCCTAAAGTTTACCGATGCCAAGCACTGTTTCGACTTGTGTGCATGGGCCGACACCATGCACCTTGTGCGCCATTGGAAACAAAAGGACAGTGTAAAACATGGGCTAAAGAGGAGAGTTCTTTCAAGCTTGCCCAACATTTATTCATATAAATCATACACATAAGGAAATTATATAAACTTCAAAATATAAATAATTGCACATATAAGCGTATCATTATTTTTATGAAGATTTCTGTTATAAAAAACTGAGAATTTCAACTGTTACAAACCTAGCGTTTTCGACAAAATTCTCCGTGTTGGTTCCCAGAGTTCAGGTGGTCGCGTGGTGGCCTTTACATACATTCTCTGTTAAAATCGTTTTCATTGGACGCTGAGTTAGCACAAATGTATGAAATATATTATTCACATTATTGTTTAATTATTTTATTATGAAAATATATGAAATAATGTGAGCCGTAATATTTTGTTTTATTTTAAAATATATTACATTATTAACGTTAGTTGTATTAACAAATAAAAACTTATTTATTTACAAATACACATCACATCAATATCCAATGACATAGTCCGTATAAACCATATACGAAACACGGGCTGCGACATTACACCCGGAAGAGAAAAAATGTCCTAAAGATTGACGATTACATATTTTGATTAGGCCTAGGATACTATGACGAACGAAAACGTACTTCACGAAGAACAAACCAGATTCTAGTTTAGTCCTATATTAAGTAGGTTTGGTGCATCACTGAGAAAACATTTGGTTTTACTACAAACAAAACAAATACGGTAAAATTATTAAAAAAAAAAAAACATCTAGGCCTAGGCCTCTAGCTAGGCTAGTCTAGGCCTAGGCCTACTATACTACTAGGCCCCTAGTAGTAGTAGGCTTTGGCTAGGCCTAGGCCTAATATCATGCACTTATTTATTTATATACCTAGGCCATAGGCCTAGACAAGCTAACTCAGTGCTCAAAAGCCCCACTTGTAAATGAAGTCACTATATTAGCGTATGGTGCAAACTTCAGTGGATGGTTGGACCATGCCTCATTGACATTGAGCCTTGATTTGAAAGTATTAATAGTTGAACATGATAACTGCTTCACTAGGAAGTGCATTCCAAAACATGACCACCCTTCTAGAAAACGTATTCCCCCTAACATTAACCCTAGAACGACTAAATTTCATCTTGTATTGATGACCCCTAGCTTGTGAATCCCGGTCAAATTTGAAAAACACCTCACTTGAAATGGAGTCAAAACCCTTAATTATTTTAAACACTTGGATCATATCCGCTCTTTGTCATAGGCCTAGGCTAGGATGTGTGCTACCGACAGCAATTTATTTTAATATTTACATTTTCTAATTTATTTTTGGTTTTGTAATGGTACACTAACTTTGTTTGCTTTGTAGTCTTTATTAATTTCATTGATTATTGCTGTGTTATGTTGCAGGTAGTCTTGCTGCCACAGGGCAGGGACAGCGTGGAATACTGTAGTTCAAGTGTTTCCAACCCCTTCCAAGATGACTTCATTCCAAATTTGCATTATTTATAGTAAGAACGCTTTTTTATTTACAGAATACTTTATAGTTTTCAATAATTACCTGTGGTATTGTGTAAAATTTGTAATATTATTGCTGTATTATATTAATGAAGTTAAACATCTAGTTAGTCTTGTTTGTTTTATAAAGCTCATACTTTAAACATGGTGGCTTTGCTGCTTTTTAATTAAAAAAAAAATTATTCAGGTATGGTAAAAAAGTACAAAAAGCCTAAAATTATTGCAGTAAAAAAATTAAAGAAAACCAAACACATACATCAAATACATTCAAACGAACAAAAAAACTACAAACAATATCATACATCCAATACTAGAAATATGCAGTTTCTTGGCTACAAATATAACTTTAAAATACAAATTAATTAACATTTTAAAAATATATTCATACAGTATCAAAATATATATTTACAATTTCATCATTTAAAAAAATTTTACTTCTTTTTCATTAATTAGTTCTGTATTATTCATTATTGCAATTATTATTGAAAATATTTTATATGTGTATCGGGATACAGTATTACATTCCGATACATGTTTGTAGTCGCAGGGCATAAACATGGTCTGAGTGAAAAAAGGAATATCTGTAACAATTAAACCTGTGACTTTGTTTTGTTGATATTTAAACATATGTAGTACATTAAAGCAAACAATTCAATATTTTATATTTCATTGTTTAAGGATTTCCCAAATTTTTGGCAGTATAAAGTGTACAGTAATTCTATAATCATTTTTTCTCCTTTGTAGTATTTGCCTTTAGTTTGTACCAAGCTACTGATGCCCAGGTACAGGACTCACCGACTGATGATACTGCATACACAACACTAAATTTCACAAAATCATTTCGTAAGTAGTGTATTCCAAAATCATGTGACATCATTAGCAATTTACTCAAATTCAGACCTGCCAACCCTTGGGTCATGAAAATCTGGAGATTTTTTTAAGAATCTTAAACAAATCTGGAGATCTACCAAAAAATCTGGAGGTTTCCAGAATTAACCAAAAGATGATGCAAGATGGCAGAAAAGTCACATCACCACAAATCATTGGCCGTTGGCGGTGACATTCGAATTGAAAATGGCTGCTTGTTTATTGCACCGTGAAGCGAGCAGGCGGTGAATACATTGAATAACAATCAAATTATGCATAAATCGTAATATTTTGGGGGTGGGGGCCTGTGAGTTCCGGTGAAAATTACATTCGATCGGGAGAACTAGAGATTTGTTTAAATATCGGGTGACACACGACAGGATCAGGTGAGTTGGCAGGTCTGCATTTGTCACGTAAAATTTGAGAGTGTGGATAGAGTTGATAGATTGACATTACTTTCAGGTGCAGCAACATTGATATTTCCATCTATCCATATTACTATTATGTTTAATCTTATTCTCTTTTCAGTTGAGCAACTGTTTAGTTTGACATACCTTCCGAGTAATAGTTTAGACTATAATAACAATGACTACCAGTTACCTAAAATGTCTGAGCCGACAGTTGATGAGTATGATCCACTCGCTTTGACACAAGATAGTAGGTATCCAATTCCAACAAAATCCATAAACCTGCAGCCAACATTAGATCCAAACAGTAACTGGAACGAATGGAATGAGAGCAATAAAAGTAATCTAATAACAAGCACAATGATAGCTGTTGCCATTGCTCTAATCGTTCTCATCAAGTTAACTTTGATTGCTCTGTTGGTCAAACGAGGGCGGCGTCTACAAAGAATTAGTGTGATTTCCTCAAGTAAGTTGTTATATGGTGTTTTATTACAGTTTCCTCTTAAAAGTATTGGTATTTTTTATTGCATAAGTATATTTGCAATATTGTGTTTCATCAACAAAAGTCTATGTAATTTTTATTTCACATAAAAGAAATAATCATATTGAGGGGCTAAGCACTATATTTGTATTCATTTTGATCCCAGGTGCCCAACCCAAGTTTCTGTTCTCCGATTTGAATGAGGACAAATAAAGAATGTAAAGATAGTGTTGTCTTTTTAATAAGGGTAGCTATTCTTTGAAATAAAGAATGTAAAGATAGTGTTGTCTTTTTAATAAGGGTAGCTATTCTTTGAATTAGATTCTAATATAGCTGCAAGCTACATATATTTTTTTTGCTCTCTTTCTGTCTATAGATCAAACAAGTATTCCAAGTGAGTTTGAAAACGACAGCGCTCATTTAGTCACACCAGCAACCATCATGTATGTTGAACCGCAAGACCTGTACAATGGCAATGGTGTACCATCTATACCATGCTCTTCAGGAACACCAGGCCTAGCGTTGATGACACCACCACCATACAGTGAGGCGTCTCTTGAGATTTCCTCTTGCCTGCAGCAGGTAGAGGCACCAAAGGATGACTACCCACCCCCTGCCTATCAAGAATCGGAACATGCCTAGCCAGAAGGGGAGAAATGTACCCTTTCTATCACACCATTAATCTCTTTATACTGTACTTCAGTTGATTATATTTTCTTTCTAATATCACTAATTATTATTTTTATGATTATCATCATCAGATTTTTAATACTTACTGCCACGTTTTGTTCCACTATCAGTGGATCATCATCGGGCAATGAAGCTGGGAGCTAGATGTTGTTAGTGATGCTATTCAGGCTTTAATAGCGCCCTCTCCCAGCTGTCCTGTCAGGAGGTGCCATTGGCTCTCTCACATGTATGACTCAATCCCAGCTCCAAAAAATCCAGGGGCCACTGATAGTGGAACAAACGTAGCAGTACGTATACTTCTACTTGGTTTTAAATTAATAATTCTACAATCAATATCATCATGATTGGTTCACATTGGTACCATAATGAAGTTCTGTATCCAACTGCCAGTGTCTTAAGTTGGTAGAAGCCACTTAATAACTTTCTTAATGTTCAGGGGGTGTCTCTTGCAATTCCTGCAATTGACTTGTAGTTCTATTGTACTTAACCATTTCAAGATAGACACATTGCAAACAAAACATTAGAATACAAACAGGGTTTGCAGATTGTTTAGTAACATTATGCAAAGAATCTTTTAATACTTGTATGGTGAAAGAAAATCTATATAAATATGTAAAATAAAAACTTTTGCAAAACACCTTGCAGTTAACAATGCAATTACAGTATAAGGGTATACTGTCCAGGTGTAGCTAAAAGCATTCAGAGTTCTTACAATGTACATATACAAGTAATTTATAATACGTGAACAATACTTTTCCTACATCCCTTTTCTTATTACGAAGGTAAAACTTTATTGTTGCCCTGGAAAGTGTGCACAATCCAACTAACATTTTCTTCAATATTTATTACATATTTTTATTGGTATACTTGATTGGTATGCTGTAAATTTTATTTGTTCTTGTGTAATATTAAACACTATTGTTAATGACCAACCAAGTTGTTTATTTTAGGGGTTTGAAGTGCATTTTTACAACTTATATTTTAATGTTTTCTTTGATTAAGTCTGGATGTTAGCATCAGAGATCATGTAGATATTGTCAATCATTTAAAAATATTGGGGCAGATTTTCAACCATGCAAAATGCATGGTTTTTTTTATGTGTTCTCTAGTATAATGTATAAGCATTATGCATGTGATGCAGAAAACGTTCTCTACTTAATAGAAACTGGGTTTTGTAGTTTTGTTACTCAGCTGGGCTTGGCAAGATTTTCGAAAACAGTACGAGAGAAAGAGAGAGCAAATGCTCTGATTATTGTCAATATCTGTTATTTGTAGAGAATTAAAAGTAACTATTTTATAATAAAATGACTGTATTTATTATTTGGAATTTAAATTGATTTAGAATCATGAAATACAGAACAAAGTTGCTTGTATTATTTGGCTGCAGAATTTCTATTTTAAAATTTTAAACTGAATAGCAAACCAGTGTGCTCACAAATTGAGTTTCATATTGCTACAGGAGTCATGAGAAAAATTTATAGTCCAAAGCTATGTCCACACTATCAAATTTTATTTGACAATAAAAGGTTGTATGCCCATATATGGTCATGACAGATGGGAGGTCACCATGACCATATTTAGGCATGCAACATGTTTTCCCTGGGAATCTCCTTACTACCAACCTACATTATACTTAGCAGGTCAGTAAGTTTTGTTCCAAGACCCAAAACATGGCACATCTAGGTGGTGCAATGGGCAGGGGAATATTATAAGGTGTGTGAGGGGAGAACAGCCTTCCACAAAAATCATGGTCAAGTAGTTATAAATCAGCGTATACCCTATTCAGACTACACTATCTTGCGATTGGTTGCGATGTAATCGGTGGTAATCCAAAACTGATTAGTCTAGACCTCCGGTAGCTAGGCCTATGTTGCCTGACCTCAGCCAAACAGTGCCTGTGGAATTCGTTGTGATTCGTTGCGATCAGATTCCGTGGTAATCGGGAGTAATAAAGATTGTAGCACCCAATCGCAATGGGTAACAATTGCGATATCGATTACATATCAACTACTATTGGTGAGCTTTCACACACTATTTTACTTTGCAATTGGGTGTCGCAATTGCTACAACCGATCGCAATGCGATGCTAGTCTGAATGGGGTATTATTTTGCGAGTTAGCACCCTTTAACTGATCATCGAACCACCCCACTTCACTTCTAGGTACGCCACTGGCAATGGGGCACACTTCCCAAAAAGCTTGCATCCTCTAGTCTCCTCTTCCCAAATAAAATGTTGAAGCAAAAAAATGATGCTCTAACAGTTAAAAAATCACCTATCGCCTTATTTTGCATGCTAGCGCCCCCCCTCAATTTGCCTTCGTGCTCCCAGTTGAAGACCAAAATGTTTATTAAGGCCAACTCAACTTAAGCCGTCGTGAGAAATATTAAACACGTTTAATATTCTACTACGCGACTGCCCCCGACGCACACCATCGCGTCTGCGTTCAACTCACACAGACCCGACGCGACAACAAATTGCGTCGGGCTGCATCGGCCGACGATATCCGAGTTGGCCTTTACATTACAAGATGCCAATTGCTATGAACACAACCAACAAGGCACTACGCATTGATACCAAATAAAGTTGGACTTATTATTATGCTTCATTATACATTTTTAAATGCAAAAAGAAATATTGAATAGACAATATCAGAGCAAAAGACTTTAATATAAGAATATTCACTTAAAATAGAACACTATTTTACTTTTTAAATGCATAAAGAAGCTAGTCTAACTACAGTGTGTATAGAAAAAAGTCAACTTGCATATACAGAACCATTAAGCAATGTGGGATTCAAGAGTGCTATACAAATGTTCAGATATTATTTACTTTACTGGCTGTAAATCCCATTTCCTATCACTTGTTAAATATAACAATATATCACATCTTAACAATAATTTATTTACGCCATCATTTGTTTGATCATTCGCAGCTGCATGTTAAAAGTAAAATTTATGAAATTTAAGTTTCATAATATTTACTGTAAATTGCCCCTCTGATTACTGCACATTTAGAAACCCTAATGTTCCTTAACATATTTACATAATATGTGCGCTCTCTTATTGTAGAACTCTAAATGCAAATGTTGCACTGATACAATAACCAGGCTGTTAATTCCAGCAAGCAAGGCCCGGAATGGCACCAGGACTTTCCCCACGGGAAGAGAGGCCGATGTCCCTAACAAAAGCGCAAATTGGCGGGGTCGGATATAGCTCAAAAACTATGACAATTTAGTACAGTAGTTTCATAGGCTTATTTAAATGGATTTTAGTGTCTACTAATATGTAAAAAATACATATAAATCTTTCTTCTCCCTGACGAAATAATGTTCTCACCTACTGCCCCACTTGCACCACCCCTGAGAAAGTCCAACGCAAACAATGTAATTGGTAACATCTTTCTGAGCGCGTGCTAATACCACATGCACTGCTGAACTTTACTCAAAATGTATCTACAATTGCACTGAGCACACATGGTAAACCTTAATATCTTAAAGCCTATTCATATCTAATCCAAGTGTGAACGGTAGAATGATTTCACCAAGATAGATTTACCCTTCATCCTGGTAAAAATGATCCAGTGTGAACAGGGCTTTGTGGTTCACAGTATAAAATATAGCATTATCAACACAAGAAAGAGGTTTAAAATTACCAGTTAATTTACAGTTTTTGCTTCCATATTGACAGGGTAAAATTTGACGTAAAATTCAACCATCAAATATAATGACAATAAAATAAGTTACAGTACTGTGTGAAAATGCAAACTGGACTGACAAACACTGTATGTACCTAAAAAAAACTAAAAAAAAATAACATTTAAAAAAATTGTTAATAATTCATGATTTTGGCAAGATTAATTAAGGTTGAAGAATTTATAAATTAGGGGTTTTTGTAGTTGGTGAAGGGGAAGTGGGTTGATTTTTAGTGACATAATTGACAAGGTCAATTTGGGTCACAACTCCATATATCATCTGCCTTTGTGTCACACCACCATCTTCACCACAATCTACAAGAACATAAAAGAGATAGTTATTACTTTTTATACCAAGTCTTCAAAATACAGTATTCAAAATCGCTCTCTCTCTCATATATATATATATATGATCTATATAACTGTTGCACTTGTCTTGGCTACTTTCAAACTCCATTAATCTAAGGTAGGTACATATTTATTAGGATGGAACTCAACTTACATTGCTTCTGATACTGAACAATGAGTGCAAATGGGTCTATGTCTAGTATACGGGAAAGGCTGCCCAATGTAGTGTCCAACGTCACCTGATAAAAAACGAATGGTTGTAATCACATATGGTATTTACTCAATGTAATTATCCACATGTGAGCATATTTTTATCACATTATCAGATGTATATAAATCATCAATTTCATAAAAAAATCACTTTATTGCATATAAAACAATAAGGAAAAACACACAACAATCCTAGATCATGGCCTAAAAGGGGCACACGCAAGCACTAAATATATTATTACTTCGCCATGGAAACCTTCAAACAATAAATTTGTCTGCATGTACCAAAAGATCCATTGATTAAATCTCAGATAATAAAGTATAATACATGCCAAATATTGAAATGCATGCCATCATGTTGGCAAATAATATTAATATTAATTATGTCATCATCAGGAATGTGCATATGTTAGCCAAATTACAAAATGAGTTCTGGGTGATTTTTGTTCATGTAACATATATTGAAAAGCACAAATCTTGAAATGCAGAAATATATTTAGGAAAGGTATAAGTCTTTGTACACAGCATAGCATAAAAAAAGATATTTATTAGTAGAGCAGAGACAGCAAAGAACAGATCTCATAAGTGAAGAATGATTCTCAAAACAAACATCATTTTAACACTTACAGTTTTGAACTTCTTGTACAGAATGTCTGAAACAGGAGCATTAGCCTTTACTCGTCCAGCAACCATCTGTGTTAAAAGGTTGCCGAGGGTAACAGTGCCAAGCATCACTCTAAATTGAAGAAAAAATAATAAATGAATACATGTAGTAGAAACTGAATTCCTTGCCTTGGCTCATGTACTGGCATATTTTTGACGCAAACTATGTCAAATTCACGGTTCACAAATTTTCACGCAACACACTCACACGCGCCATCACCTCAGTTCCTCGGCTTTGTGTGGTTGGAGGTTCAAATTTTATTATGTAATTTATACTGTGATCTATAAAAAATGAAACCATGATGGTAGGCCCAAAGTACCGGTAGGCTATTTTTTTAATTACCAAAACACACAGTAGTTGCTGACTGAATGCCTAGGCCTAAGGACCAGACCTGGTTTGACAGCACTAGGCTTACACACCCGAAACTGCGGCTACTCTAACGTGTAAAATTCCCGGTCCTTCCGAGGCCTGTTACATCTACGGGTAAATTTTAGGTATGTCCCGGCACTACGGGGACACAACTATGTGTACATCCCCCGCTCAGTCTCGGCTAGTGCCCTGCTATGGCCTGGGGGACCCGGGACTACAATTGACAAGTGCATTACAGTTTACATGTACACTATGAAGCCTCTTTGAGCTAGCTTGTTATGAGAGCCACATTGTTGTTGAATAACAGTTAATACATAAAAACAAAAACCCAGCAGCTTCATTTTTGATCTCAGAAAACAAATGAATGTTCAAGATTTTATAGGTACTTACCCCCCTTCACTGACTACTGGTAACTGATCAAAGCCCTCCTCCTTCATTATGTTGATGCAGTCTTGACATTTAACTGATGGAAGCACAGTCAGTGGTGCATTTACCTCTAAAACTGATAACTTGAGATTCCACCACCTACAAAATCAAGTATTTTTTATTGAGATGTTCCAACCCTGGAACTCAAAATTCTGGAGACTTGACGTGTGCTGGTGATGTGCACCCCAACCCCATAAATGTTGAAAATCTAAGTTTTTTTTATGCATGCATTCTGATCTTTCGAGGTGTCAGTAACACTCAGAAAACCTTTGTAAGCATACTGGCATTGTTAGCTTAAAAAGGAACAATTGGCACAGAGATACTCAATCATTGCTTCCAACAAGCCTCTAATTAGATGTTTTTGGTATTTTGTGTTTTTTCTGAAAAACTGGGAGACCAGGAGATTGAATGGAAATGCGGGAGAATCCTGAGCGAAACAGGAGAGCTGGAATATTTGTTTATCTATTCTTTACACTGGAAGTCAGTTCAGTTTGTATCTCCTATTCTCCAACAGGGGCAAACATTCATTAATCATAACAATTTTGGCAGTATAAATAACTACATACTGATAGATTTTAGTAAAAAAAAACAAATTCAAGGTATAATAGGATGATAAATGACAGTATTCAAATAAAGTATCACTGACTACCTTACCATTGACTCTCAGGTGCATTTGGGCCATAGTCTTTATCCATGAATCCGTTCTCTATCATCCAATCTTCAGAAAGGAATTTTGTCCTGTGGAAGAAAAACAAATCACATACAATCTCTTTCACAAATACAATAGTTAGCAAGATGCTAGCTTTAGACTGCAAGTCCAAACAATAACTGGTGATTATCATCAAATCCCATTGGTGGACGACTCAATTTTCATAAATCCTAGATAAACTATAATCACGATAGGATGATGGTGTTTACAAAATCCTACATGATACTCTTATTGTAATATAATTGGAGAGGAGCTGTAGGTTGGATGGATGTCAGGTCAAAATGCTCCATTCTAATCCCAACATCCTGGATTGAAATTTTGCAAAAAACCACATACTTTTGTATCACTTCAAGGGCATATGCTGGTTGCGGCTTTGGGGGGGGGGGGTGCGCCATATAAGTATGCTGAACGAAATCCCAAAATATGGAGCTATATCCTTATTCCAATGAAAATTTAATTGCCAATTTCAGAATTTGTTGCACTGGGGAGGGGAAAGAAGGTGCACATCTCCCAACCTACGCCCATGCAATTACCACCTCTGCTCTATGAACTAAGTCATTATATTGACCCTGTAAGAATCACTTGATTTTGGAACATTTTAAAGAAAAAAATGAAATACAAATTACATATTTTAAACTTTGCAGTGACAGTATAGCAATTAATGGTATCAAAACTGCATAAAATAAAGTGGTAAAATCATCAATACCACCACACTTTCCACACCACCACGTCAACGAATGAAAAATATGGGAAAAAACAATAGCCTCCCTGGAAATATGCTCACTTGTACAGGCTAATATTTAATATGTTAGCTTTTTAGATCCTTTGAATTTGACACTAGATGATATATAAGGATATATGGTTTGAAACTGAGATAATAATTTTGTACTTACATATAATTTCTAACAGAATCAGCTAAGACAACAACACAACGCTGCCCTTCTTCAAGCGACTTGGCAGCTTTGATAGCTATTGCCATTGCTGACCCAGAACTACCACCTGAAAAATATCAACAACAGTTAATGATTACATTGTAAATGCATACAGTAAATAGTTTTATTGACATTATCATAACACATTATCATATATATAAATTATATGTGTTGAATGTGCAACAAGAAATATTTCCTATAAAAAAATGCTGCAACATCTTTAACTAGTTTGTATTTCCAAACTTAATAAATTAATGTATTCTTGAGGATGACCTACCATCTTCAATGCATTTCTTTTATGGTACGACACATAAACATAAAAATAATAGACTACAGGTATTAAAAAGAATTGGTTTACGACTGGTGTAACAATAGCCAAGAAGTTATTTACATTGCGGTCACAGGATTAAAATAATAAACATTAGAAATGTGGAGAGTATAAAATTCATACACCAGTTTGGTTATATATAATTTTGTGTAGGCCTACCATATAGACCCCGGGTATTCAACCTTTTTAAGCTGGGGGTACTTCCAATCTGTTGAGACCAGCAGTGGGCCGACATAAATTGTGTACTTCCACTTTTTTCTATGTCAGCCGCACTCATTTTCTTTTAAAGCAGTGGATTTAAAATAGAGGGGGCCAGTGAAGAGCTTTCACAGATAGGAGAAAATACCCCCTCAGCCTCACCATGGTTGGACCTGAAGTAAGAAAATTTATGATTATGGCACTTCTCGATGGTTGGGAATGGCATTCTGCGACTTCAATTTGAATATAATTTTCTTTTCTTCTCCATTTTATTTTAGATTTTTGAAAAAAAACCCCTTGCACTCCAGGTTCTCCTACACTGTCACTAGAAATTTTCCTACCACAAAAATATCCACTCACCAGTGGTTGGGGTTGAGATGAGTAAATTTTAACAATTTTTAATACCTCTAGATTCCTTGAAATGTCACTTTCAAACTAAAAAATAAGATCTCAAAGCAGTGTTTTCAATAGAATAACATGCCCCTGAGCCTACTGGTGCCAGAAATTGTTACCAATCGCATCATATCAGCGCCACACTTAATCCATTATCCCCATTAGTCTCCCCCTCCCCATGTCAATAACATACGCCAGTAAGGACACTCGGAAAAAGCCACACTCTTGTAAAAAAATGCTAGATTAGGGGTGGCTAGACAGTGTTTCTATAACCAGAAGAACTTTTTCTAATGATCAACTGATCATCGAGCCCCCCCCCACTTTACCTTTCCCCCACTTCCCCTTTGCGCCCCCCCCCCATTTCAAGACTTCTAGATACGCCACTGCCGCTTACCTAGAGTTTCTTAATGACTGTTTCCTGTTGTTCAAAGCAGCCTAAATGTGCAACGCGTAAAATGGATATCCTAAGTTGACACAATACAATCAAATTGTGTAACAGAATGTCGAAGTATGTTTATGTCAACTTCATACCTTGACCTATTTGACTACTGACCTCATCAACAAGTGCCTCAAAAAGGGTAACCATAATTTTTGAGCTGTGCTCTTGGTTTTTCCCTGCCATCTTTTACTACATAATTGCATGTAAAATTTGGTGAAATAAATTACTTTGAATTTTGCAAATTTAGCTACTTATTATTTTTCATATCAAAGTATGTTATATCTATGTATGTATCTTCAAAAGGACCTCCATACTTCAGGTCAAATGTTCAGTTGATTACCACACTTGTCTTAATGCCGATTAACATACACAAACACTCACACGTATACAATAAGTCACAAGAACAGATCGCAATAAAAACAAACGCTCAAATACCTCTCCTAACCAGGAAGCCCTTCAGAATGCTAATTATTAACTTACCACATAAGAGGCCTTCCTGTCGGATCAACCTACGGGCCATTCTGAATGATTCTTTGTCATCAATTTTGTACCATTCATCAACAACGTCCATATCAAGCACAGTAGGAACAAAGTCATATCCAATGCCTTCTACTTGGTAGGATGTGACATCGGTTTGGTTGAGAGTTTCTGGTAGGGCTAAGATTGAACCTAGTGGGTCTACACCAATCATCTAGTAAGCACATTAGCAAAGAAAAACTAAATTAAACCTTGTGTAGACAGAATACTGAGTTGCTACATTGGTACTTGCAATAAATTGGTGAATCCTTGAGGGGAGAAATGAGTTGTTGTGGAGTGAGTTGATATGTCGAGTGGAGTGCCTGCATGCGACAGCAACGTTGTTTTTGACATCAGTGGGTGGAGTCCTGAACTTTTAAAATTTTAAATACCATAAATTAAGTCAAAATTATTTACTGCTTGTGGTGCATTGAGGCTTTTTTTTTCTGTTAAATGTGCTATAAAAGAATGGAGAGTTATTATTCTTATTATTATGTCTGCCAGTTTACTTAAATAAGGAAATTATTTGATCAGTTGGACTAAACTTTGATACAAGATTTGATAAACAATATTCTGTGTAAAATTCCTAATAATATGTACTGTAAATTAATGTGGAAACCTGTGTTGAATTTACCTTAATGTTTGGATTCTTTTCCTTGAGTTTCCTGGCAATGCCAGAGATAGTACCTCCTGTCCCAGCCCCTGCAACCAACATGTCTAGCTTACCTAAAAATAAATTGAACAAAATTGTAACAAAACAATATAAAAATATACTAATTTTACAATATATTTGCAAACAACATGTAAAGACTACATACAAAGATAAAAAAAGGAGAGACTAACAGAGTTTTGAGTAGGTAAAATATTTGATAAACAGCAGAAAGAAGCATAATATTAATTTTTTTAAATTTCATTATACATGAGTGTCAAAAATCTTTGAATGAGATGGAAAAGAGGTAAGTTTTTAACTTTTTCTTAAACACACTGACAGAATATGAATCAAAAAAAGTAAAGAGTGAAATGCACTCTTGTTTAATTTAAATGTATTATAATGATGGCCCTTTGTTGAAAATCAACTCAGAAAATTCATTTCTTGTGCAATGTTTACCCTTAGCGAGTTGGATGGCCGAGTGGTTAAAGCAAGGGCGCTGCAACCTACAGCCATAATATCGGCATGGTTTAAACAGCATGCTCGCCTATGATTTTGGTGTTGGAAAAAAGTCTTCTTGGATAAGGACTATAAACCATAGGCTCAGTGTACACAATTTGACTTGTGTGCACTTTAAAGAACCCAGTATATCTTTTGAGACAAGCAGGGGGTTACACCAGCGTACTGGTCCATACAGCCCATGTTGCGAACAGACGAGAATACTGTTGTGGCTGGAACCGGTTTATAGATAGCACACATGAAGAGACCCTTCGGGGAGAAGCAAGTCACTGTAAGAGCTAGTCCACATCTTGAGCGCTTTGAGACTGTATAAAGTGTTATATAAATCCTACACTACATTCCATTACATATTCTATCCTTAAAATCATAGTACAGTTGAACTTTGCCAAGTCGAATCCAAAATGCCATTGAAATATTGTTCGACTTAGATAAAAAATTGACTTACAAATTGTTAAATAATGGAAAACAAAACAATTTGGCATGTAAAATTAGATCAACAAAAAAAACCCCCAGAATTTTCGACTTAGGCAAGTTTAACTGTATATAAAAAATAGATCTGTGTCTACTTTTGTCTGGTCAGTGGTTAAAAACTTTAAACTATCACAAATATCAGGAAAACATATTATCCCTGCACCCACCATCACACTGGTCCCAGATTTCATCTGCTGTTCTGTCATAATGAGCAAGGGGATTGCCAGCATTTCGATATTGGTCAAGAATAAGCGAGTTTGGAATTTCCCGATTCAACCGCTGAGCAACACTAATGTGGGATTCGGGACTGTCAAAACGAGCTTCAGTTGGTGTCCTTACAATCTCTGCCCCAAGTGCACGTAACACATCTACTTTCTCGTTACTCATTTTCTCGGGCATGACAATTATGCACCGGTAACCTTTTACTGCTGCTGCCAAGGCTATCCCAATCCCTATTGGTCGAAACAAGACAAATTAATGATGAAACATATTTATACAAATTATAAAATTGTAGAACATGTGCTGATTATGTAAAATAGTTCTTAATATTGTGTTATGAATGTCAGCTAACTTCAATAGCCCAATATAAAGATAGGGCTACCAAAATTTACAAACAAAAAATTAACAAGTATTGTTAATAATCTATTGTGAAAGGGGCCATTCTGCCACTTTCATGACACTTGTAATCAATTACGCACTTCAGATACCTGCTGATATCTGTCCTTGAAGACAACATGTATGAGTGAGTCATGTGTAGTCCAGCAAATTTTGGTTGGTTGCATTTTTTTTTTGCTATATTTTTAAAATATTGGATATGATGTAGAATAGACATAGATAAATCAAAAAAGTATGTGCAACATTTTTTTTTTCATACGCAAGGGGGGTTGCCAGCCGTTTCAAAATGGCCGCCATTTTTTCCTAAAATTGTCACTAATATTGTAATTTTATGTCATTAAAATGCAGTATTCAATTGGAAATTCACTCATAACAATGACAGCAACAGTTAACTAAATATTGTACACATTTTTGAGCTATTGAAATTTAAAATGGCTGCCATTTTTCATTATTTTAGCTTTTTAGCATACATATTAATATAATAATAACCGACCTGTACAAAAACTGTGATAGAGCTAGTTATATGCAATTGCCATATGTTGTTAATGGTTATTACCATAATATATACATATATATGATACTGTCTCTTATACACATCTAGATGTGTATAAGAGACAGACTTAGGCAAGTTTAACTGTATATAAAAAGT